GTCCCAGACTGAAAAAAAAAGGAATTTACAGAAGCTGGTTGGATACCAAATAGCACAAGGCCATCTTCTCGTTCTCTAACCAGTATTGTAATTTACACACTTCCGATCTAATGCATTACCCCCCGCCTTCATAGTGTTATAAAAATAATATAGAATCTTATCAGGTTTCTTTGATTCCTCTACTATTTTGTTATCATGCTGCATAGATTGCTATACGAGAACATGTGTATTTGGTTTTGGAAGATACTACACTAAGGCTGTAGTGCTAGTGAACATAAACTTAGAAGTACCTGGCTGTGTTTCCTTCTTATTTGGAACTACATGTTGGGGTACTTGTTACTTATTTTTACGCTTCCTGCCGACATTGGTCAGTTGGTTGATGCGCAATTCTACATGTAATTCTACTGGTGTGATATTTCTGTTCGTATAGACGAAAGCATTGAGCAGGTAGTGGTGAGTCTTTGCATCATCAGTCCATACTTATTCGGTTTAGTTTTCTTGTAGGCACAGGAAGGACATCGGCCCACGAGCATCTCGTATTTTGTAGGGGACTCACCCGAAATATAAAAATTTCGACAGTTCTCTATGAGTGTCTCGAAAATTTCACGTATTTGGAGAAATTTATCTGCATTTCTCGAGTCACAGGGTTATTATTTTCCAAATTGGTTGCCACGGACTTTAGTTCAGGTAAATGCGTAATAATATTGTCGTCTGGATCGACCAGTTGCAGGCGCTTGTTTTGACCAATTGTACATGTTTTTTCTATAAGCATAGCGAGGTCGCCCATAGGAAGTTGTTCAGGTTGATCGCTAACAGCGTCGTCCTCGGCGTGGTATTGTGTCATCCGCCAACAACGAAAAAATCCATTGTGAAGGAAGTTCAAATCGTACACGCAACTGACATCCTCGGATCAAATTTGACCGCAAAGTCAACAAACCAACACTTGTGATGTTTAAATTAAACTGTGGTTTGAGGTATACGTGCTTATACCGTATGAGAAGTCACGGGACCCCACCACATAACTATGAGAAAGCTCGAATCACCCGACGATACCATTAAAGGATTAATTTCTATATTCTTAAACGAATCTATAAAATCAAGTGGCTGGGTTTCAATTTACATAGCTCTTTGTATGGTCTTGTTTGCTGATCAACATTATTTGCTTTCTAGACATGTTCAAGCTGTGCAGGCTTCTTCACTTTCATATTAATGTCAATAAGAGCATTTCATCCATTTTTGAATAAATGTGGTTCATCAAAAATTGTAGAAAGAATACTCTGAGCATTGCTATAAAATGGAATATGGACTTGATCCGTGAGTATTCTCCGAGCAAATCGTCTCAAGTGCGTTTTTGATCGTTGCGCCCCTGATTACAAAATAGTGCCAACAACGCACAACCAAGTCGCTGCAAGTTTGTGATCACATGAACAATAATCGTTTTCAGATCTGGGATTCTTGTATCTTTTACTAGATAATAAGCCACAACCTGCTTATAATTTTTACGAATTCCTCTTATCATGGAAGTAAGGGCCATGATTTATGATAAATCACTTTTACAGAGTTCTAGTTGATTTTGTTACCTCAGAATTCAAGATTTATTAGCTGAAAATTGTACACTGTGAGCGGTTACCAAGACTAGATTCACAATCTTAAGTCCTAGGTGCTATCGTGGTCCGTGGGATCAGCCCTAAACTTTGTCCATACCCTGCAATAATCGTAAACACTAAACAAGGGTAGACATATTTCTAGTTTAACTGCCTGAAGATTTTCTCTATGGTTTATACGTAAACTCTCCACCTATTATCTCATTTTTGTACATGTTCTGGGAGAACTCAACTTGCTCCCTATAAAATGCAACGTCTTCCTGCACAGGTGGTTCTGGTTAAGTGCCAGCCAGCTTCGGGTTTTTGTAATTAGTTGTTGCAATTTTCTGATTTCGTCGTCATTTTTCATAATCCAGATTTCGTTTTGGCATTCCAGTTCAGCCATTTGATCTGAAGCTCTTTTTAGTAGTAGAATCATTATGGCATCGTATATCTGAGACTTTAAATGAGTGGTTGACCTCACGTTGATTACTCTCGTCCATCAGACTCTTTACGTCATTTCTCAGTTTAGATTCAAGTTCTTTTAGGAAGCCAATTTCATCTTGCCAGTTCAGCAATCTGTGACATCGTTACATCAGTTTGTGTAGCAGCACTTAAAGAATCTTGCATATCTTCATACTCAGCGTCAAGCGTAGCTTCTAAGCCTGCAACCTCTTTTTTGACTCAATATTTTGAGCTTCAAGAGATAGTTAAGGGCTCTCTGATCTTCCTAGGTTCTTCAGTTGAGTACGCAGCATCTCTATTTCTGACTCGTATGTTTTTAGTCTTTTTATAATGTTTTTCCAGAAAATCGAGTCTGTATTGCAAGTCGATGAATTCTTGCGCTTTTTGAGAATTTTTTTGAACCCTTTCTATTTCTTCGTTGTACGCATCCGGTTACTTGGCGGAGTTCCTGACTGTAACGATCGATTTTAGAATTGGCTTCTGTGAGCTGTTTCTTCAGGTCCAAAATCTCCAGCTGATTATCTAGTTTAGTGAATTCTCTAAGCTCATTGAAAGATTCTTCCAGTTCTTTGAGTTGTCTTTTAAGTACACTTGCAGCCGTCTTCAGCTATCACAGATTCTGCTTCGGCTAGTGCCTCTCATATGTCTCTTCTTGAATAGGCCTCATTTCACGTCCGGATGATTCTTCTTTGGGTGGATAATTTTTCAATGGCATATACCGTACGGATGCTTTTTTAGGTGATACGTTGCCATAGTCTCCAAAAGTATGACGTCTTAATGTTTTTTTCGGTGTTGATAGACGAGGCTCCCATTTGAAAGCGCCCGACAATAGATACTTCCGTTTTTAGTCTTTCTATCTCGAGCAGATACTCTTGTTTGCTTTTCTCCATCTCTTCTAGCTTAATTGCCTGATTTTTGAGCCGAGTTTCGAGATCGCGAGTCAAGTTCTGATATCCTTGAAGTGCTTCTCTGTAGCTGACAAGATGTTTACTTTCGGTTTATTTTTGACAGTTTTAGTGCTTGGGCGAATTCTGGTGTAGATCTAGTCTCCTCTGCAGCTAAAGTAACATTTCCGATAATCAATGATTTGGCATTACCGCCAAGAGCCTGTGAGAGCAGTCTAGTCAATTTCGAATCGCGATAACTGATAAACTCCTTCCCCTCGCTTAGTTGCCTTATCACATTTCCTAATACTGACAAAGATTTGTTTATGTTAGCCCCCTCTTTAAGACGCTCACCAGCAGCTTTCGTCAGAGAAACTCTCTCAGAACCAGCTAAGTCCATTAAGTTAGGTAGCTTATATGTACAGGTCCATCTTTCTGATTGGCATCTTTCGACTCCAGAATAATCCGGAAAATCGTGTGTGATCGAGATGACCTCTCATTCATGCGAGTAGCTGCAACTCGTCTGATCTTATTGCCCTGCATCATGTTCTCCATAACTTTATCAACATTGTCTACGACAGGTTCTCTTGCATCAAGCAGCACATTTCCTTTGATATCTTCTCTTATAGTTAAACCCTGATTGCTCTTATCCAGGAGGTCATTGATCTTTTCATTGTAGATTTCAATATAACTGCATCTAATCAAGTACCTCTTATCAACCTGGTCTGCCACATGCTGGAATAACTGATTGGATACTAATTGGAAAAGCCCAGGATCTGTTTCATTGCCCAAAATGGTGTGTGTTTTGCCAGAAGATGTTTGGCCATATGCAAATATTGTTGCATTGAAACCTTCCATGAAGGAATCGACTAAAGGTTTTACTACAGATCCATATACATCTGAATTTGTACATTCCTAGTTAAATACATGGTCGAATATATAAACCTCTCCATGGCGACTACTTTCATCGACTTCCCATATGCAGTTTGCTCTTACGTTCCAAAGACGCTCTAGACCATCGGCTACTTCGGGGTGGATCATTGGTCTGATCTTTATGGCTACTTTAATATTGTCGGAAGTCATTTTGGAAGCTTGAACTGAAATTTAATTAGAACTAGGGCTATTTCACGGGTTATAAAGAGGGGCAGATGTATCAGGTTGATACATTCTTTTTTTCCTCCTTTCCAGTATAGAAGATTTTTTTCTCTTGTAGGCTATGAATGCGGTCCGATAATTTAGTAGAGCTACATTTACAGGGTGACTCAAAATCAAAGAAGAAACAGAATTGTTAAATTTTATGTAGACTGTTATTGTTATTACAAAAGAAGTTGAAGCAGCAGCAAATTCTCACAAATCTATAGATCCATCACTTTCAGCACCCGATTTTTCAACTTGAAAAATGCAGCTCGGTGAAGAATCACAAGGTAACTGTTGTCTATTCAGACAATACTCTTCTAAAAGCAACGCGAAGTTACCTAGTGCCTTACATGAATCGCCTTCATAATTCTTCATTATTGTCAATGGAAAACTGAAATTGTTGATTATTACAGTTTTTAATGCTGCAAATAAGCAGATGGGGTTCGTGTTGGAAATCCCACGTCTAATCTCGCAAAACAGGTTATCCACCGGATCTTACTATCAACTTCTGAAATGCCATTACTGTTTTTAGCCATGTGTACAACAGGTTTGTACGCATAAAACACTCTTACATGAAAACTGTTTATTGTCTAAAAACGAAAATACCCCATTTGAAGATGAGTAATGCAACAAATATAATTTACGAAACTTGAACTGTAATATGAACATAAAAAAACTAACAAAATGGGCCATTTAACAACATATTTGGTGTTGATATTCTACAACAAAAACAAATACTTTCTCGTATAAGGAAACGTACAATAATTCACATTTATCACTTTTCACGAAACAATGTAGCTGCTCTGTGACTTTGCATACTTATTACAGATTGTAGAACATTTTTTTCATTGTGTATTGTCATGTAACACCTACGTCGTTTTTTCCCTTTATCAACTGCATCAGGATCGAGAACTCTGGGCTGAGAAGTAGACGGCTTACTTATTCGTCGTTGGTAATTTTGGATTCTTTGCATGGCTGAACGAAGCTCCCTAGGAAGTCTTGGATCTGATAAACGTCCTCTCATACGAAGTTAAATTAGAGTTTGCCTCAGGAGAACAATAAAATTTCGTCGCCTAATAGAACTTTCAGTCCCAGACTGAAAAAAAAGGAATTTACAGAAGCTGGTTGGATACCAAATAGCACAAGGCAATCTTCTCGTGCTCTAACCAGTATTGTAATTTACACACTTCCGATCTAATGCATTACCCCCCGCCTTCATAGTGTTATAAAAATAATATAGAATCTTATCAGGTTTCTTTGATTCCTCTACTATTTTGTTATCATGCTGCATAGATTGCTATACGAGAACATGTGTATTTGGTTTTGGAAGATACTACACTAAGGCTGTAGTGCTAGTGAACGTAAACTTAGAATTACCTGGCTGTGTTTCCTTCTTATTTGGAACTACATGTTGGGGTACTTGTTACTTATTTTTACGCTTCCTGCCGACGTTGGTCAGTTGGTTGATGCGCAATTCTACACGTAATTCTACTGGTGTGATATTTCTGTTCGTATAGACGAAAGCATTGAGCAGGTAGTGGTGAGTCTTTGCATCATCAGTCCATACTTATTCGGTTTAGTTTTCTTGTAGGCACAGGAAGGACATCGGCCCACGAGCATCTCGTATTTTGTAGGGGACTCACCCGAAAAATAAAAATTTCGACAGTTCTCTATGAGTGTCTCGAAAATTTCACGTATTTGGAGAAATTTATCTGCATTTCTCGAGTCACAGGGTTATTATTTTCCAAATTGGTTGCCACGGACTTTAGTTCAGGTAAATGCGTAATAATATTGTCGTCTGGATCGACCAGTTGCAGGCGCTCGTTTTGACCAATTGTACATGTTTTTTCCATAAGCATAGCGAGGTCGTCCATAGGAAGTTGTTCAGGTTGATCGCTAACAGCGTCGTCCTCGGCGTAGTCTATGGTGTATTGTTCATCCGTCAACAACGAAAAAATCCATTGTGAAGGAAGTTCAAATCGTACACGCAGCTGACATCCTCGGATCAAATTTGACCGCAAAGTCAACAAACCAACACTTGTGATGTTTAAATTAAACTGTGGTTTGAGGTATACGTGCTTATACCGTATGAGAAGTCACGGGAGCCCCACCACATAACTGAGAAAGCTCGAATCATCCGACGATACCATTAAAGGATTAATTTCTATATTCTTAAACGAATCTATAAAATCAAAGTGGCTGGGTTTCAATTTACATAGCTCTTTGTATGGTCTTGTTTGTTGATCAACATTATATGCTTTCTAGACATGTTCAAGCTGTGCAGCTTCTTCACTTTCATATTAATGTCAATAAGAGCATTTCATCCATTTTTGAATAAATGTGGTTCATCACAAATTGTAGAAATACTCTGAGCATTGACTATAAAATGGAATGGACTTGATCCGTGAGTATTCTCCGAGCAAATCGTCTCAAGTGCGTTTTTGATCGTTGCGCCCCGATTACAAATAGTGCCAACGACGCACAAACCAAGTCGCTGCAAGTTTGTGATCACATGAACAATAATCGTTTTCAGATCTGGGATTCTTTTATCTTTTACTAGATAATAAGCCACAACCTGCTTATAATTTTTACGAATCCCTCTTATCATGGAAGTAAGGGCATGATTTCTGATAAATCACTTTTACAGAGTTCTAGTTGATTTTGTTACCTCAGAATTCAAGATTTATTAGCTGAAAATTGTACACTGTGAGCGGTTACCAAGACTAGATTCACAATCTTAAGTCCTAGGTGCTATCGTGGTGCGTGGGATCAGCCCTAAACTTTGTCCAAACCCTGCAATAATCGTAAACACTAAACAAGGGTAGACATATTTCTAGTTTAACTGCCTGAAGATTTTCTCTATGGTTTATACGTAACCCTCCATCTATTATCTCATTTTTGTACATGTTCTGGGAGAACTCAACTTGCTCCCTATAAAATGCAACGTCTTCCTGCACAGCTGGTTCTGGTTAAGTGCCAGCCTGCTTCGGGTTTGTAATTAGTTGTTGCAATTTACCGATTTCGTCGTCATTTTTCATAATCCAGATTTCGTTTTGGCATTCCAGTTCAGCCATTTGATCCTGAAGCTCTTTTATAGTAGAATCATTATGGCATCGTATATCTGAGATTTTAAATGAGTGGTTGACCTCACGTTGGTTACTCTCGTCCATCAGACTCTTTACGTCATTTCTCAGTTTAGATTCAAGTTCTTTTAGGAAGCCAATTTCATCTTGCAGTTCAGCAATGTGTGACATCGTTACATCAGTTTGTGTAGCAGCACTTAAAGAAACTTGCATATCTTCGTACTCAGCGTCAAGCATAGCTTCTAAGTCTGCAACCTTCTTTTTTGACTCAATATTTTGAGCTTCAAGAGATAGTTTAGGGCTCTCTGATCTTCCTAGGTTCTTCAGTTGAGTACGCAGCATCTCTATTTCTGACTCGTATGTTTTTAGTCTTTTTATAATGTTTTTCCAGAAAATCGAGTCTGTATTGCAAGTCGATGAAATTCTTGCGCTTTTTGAGAATTTTTTTGAACCCTTTCTATTTCTTCATTGTACGCATCCGTTACTTGGCGGAGTTCCTGACTGTAACGATCGATTTTAGAATTGGCTTCTGTGAGCTGTTTCTTCAGGTCCAAAATCTCCAGCTGATTATCTAGTTTAGTGAATTCTCTGAGCTCATTGAAAGATTCTTCCAGTTCTTTGAGTTGTCTTTTAAGTACACTTGCAGGCACGTCTTCAGTTATCACAGATTCTGCTTCGGCTAGTGCCTCCTCATATGTCTCTTCTTGAATAGGCCTCATTTCACGTCCGGATGATTCTTCTTCGGGTGGATAATTTTTCAATGGCATATACCGTAGGGATGCTTTTTTAGGTGATACGTTGCCATAGTCTCCAAAAGTATGACGTCTTAATGTTTTTTTCGGTGTTGATGCCGAGGCTCCCATTTGGAAGCGCCGACAATAGATACTTCCGTTTTTAGTCTTTCTATCTCGAGCAGATACTCTTGTTTGCTTTTCTCCATCTCTTCTAGCTTAATTGCCTGCTTTTTGAGCCGAGTTTCGAGATCGCGAGTCAAGTTCTGATATCCTTGAAGTGCCTCTTCTGTAGCTGACAAGATGTTTGCTTTCGGTTTATTTTTGACAGTGTTAGTGCTTTGGGCGAATTCTAGTGTAGATCTAGTCTCCTCCTCTGCAGCTAAAGTAACATTCCCGATAATCAATGATTTGGCATTACCGCCAAGAGCCTGTGAGAGCAGTCTAGTCAATTTCGAATCGCGATAACTGATAAACTCCTTCCCCTCGCTTAGTTGCCTTATCACATTTCCTAATACTGACAAAGATTTGTTTATGTTAGCCCCCTCTTTAAGACGCTCACCAGCAGCTTTCGTCAGAGAAACTCTCTCAGAACCAGCTAAGTCCATTAAGTTAAGGTAGCTTATATGTACAGGTCCATCTTTCTGATTGGCATCTTTCGACTCCAGAATAATCCGGAAAATCGTGTGTGATCGAGATGACCTCTCATTCATGCGAGTAGCTGCAACTCGTCTGATCTTATTGCCCTGCATCATGTTCTCCATAACTTTATCAACATTGTCTACGACAGCTTCCCTTGCATCAAGCAGCACATTTCCTTTGATATCTTCTCTTATAGTTAAACCCTGATTGCTCTTATCCAGGACGTCATTGATCTTTCATTGTAGATTTCAATATAACTGCATCTAATCAAGTACCTCTTATCAACCTGGTCTGCCACATGCTGGAATAACTGATTGGATACTAATTGGAAAAGCCCAGGATCTGTTTTATTGCCCAAAATGGTGTGTGTTTTGCCAGAAGATGTTTGGCCATATGCAAATATTGTGGCATTGAAACCTTCCATGAAGGAATCGACTAAAGGTTTTACTACAGATCCATATACATCTGAATTTGTACATTCCTGCTTAAATACATGGTCGAATATATAAACCTCTCCATGGCGACTACTTTCATCGGCTTCCCATATGCAGTTTACTCTTACGTTCCAAAGACGCTCTAGACCATCGGCTACTTCGCGGTGGATCATTGGTCTGATCTTTGTGGCTACTTTAATATTGTCGGAAGTCATTTTGGAAGCTTGATCTGAAATTTAATTAGAACTAGGGCTATTTCACGGGTTATAAAGAGGGGCACTTTTCATAATCCAGATTTCGTTTTGGCATTCCAGTTCAGCCATTTGATCCTGAAGCTCTTTTATAGTAGAATCATTATGGCATCGTATATCTGAGATTTTAAATGAGTGGTTGACCTCACGTTGGTTACTCTCGTCCATCAGACTCTTTACGTCATTTCTCAGTTTAGATTCAAGTTCTTTTAGGAAGCCAATTTCATCTTGCAGTTCAGCAATGTGTGACATCGTCACATCAGTTTGTGCAGCAGCACTTAAAGAATGTTGCATATCTTCGTACTCAGCGTCAAGCATAGCTTCTAAGTCTGCAACCTTCTTTTTTGACTCAATATTTTGAGCTTCAAGAGATGGTTTAGGGCTCTCTGATCTTCCTAGGTTCTTCAGTTGAGTACGCAGCATCTCTATTTCTGACTCGTATGTTTTTAGTCTTTTTATTATTTTTTTCCAGAAAATCGAGTCTGTATTGCAAGTCGATGAAATTCTTGCGCTTTTTGAGAATTTTTTTGAACTCTTTCTATTTCTTCGTTGTACGCATCCGTTACTTGGCGGAGTTCCTGACTGTAACGATCGAATTTAGAATTGGCTTCTGTGAGCTGTTTCTTCAGGTCCAAAATCTCCAGCTGATTATCTAGTTTAGTGAATTCTCTAAGCTCATTGAAAGATTCTTCCAGTTCTTTGAGTTGTCTTTTAAGTACACTTGCACGTCTTCAGCTATCACAGATTCTGCTTCGGCTAGTGCCTCCTCATATGTCTCTTCTTGAATAGGCCTCATTTCACGTCCGGATGATTCTTCTTTGGGTGGATAATTTTTCAATGGCATATACCCTAGGGATGCTTTTTTAGGTGATACGTTGCCATAGTGTCCAAAAGTATGACGTCTTAATGTTTTTTTCGGTGTTGATGCCGAGGCTCCCATTTGAAAGCGCCCGACAATAGATACTTCCGTTTTTAGTCTTTCTATCTCGAGCAGATACTCTTGTTTGCTTTTATCCATCTCTTTTAGCTTAATTGCCTGCTTTTTGAGCCGAGTTTCGAGATCGCGAGTCAAGTTCTGATATCCTTGAAGTGTCTCTTCTGTAGCTGACAAGATGTTTACTTTCGTTTTATTTTTGACAGTTTTAGTGCTTTGGGCGAATTCTGGTGTAGATCTAGTCTCCTCCTCTGCAGCTAAAGTAACATTCCCGATAATCAATGATTTGGCATTACCGCCAAGAGCCTGTGAGAGCAGTCTAGTCAATTTCGAATCGCGATAACTGATAAACTCCTTCCCCTCGCTTAGTGCCTTATCACATTTCCTAATACTGACAAAGATTTGTTTATGTTAGCCCCCTCTTTAAGACGCTCACCAGCAGCTTTCGTCAGAGAAACTCTCTCAGAACCAGCTAAGTCCATTAAGTTAAGGTAGCTTATATGTACAGGTCCATCTTTCTGATTGGCATCTTTCGACTCCAGAATAATCCGGAAAATCGTGTGTGATCGAGATGACCTCTCATTCATGCGAGTAATGCAATAAATATAATCCTCGAAACTTGAACTGTAATATGAACATAAAAAAACTAACAAAATGGGCCATTTAACAACATATTTGGTGTTGATATTCTACAACAAAAACAAATACTTTCTCGTATAAGGAAACATACAATAATTAACATTTATCACTTTTCACGAAACAATGTAAGTGCGCTGTGACTTTACATACTTATTACAGATTGTAGAACATTTTTTTCATTGTGTATTGTCATGTAACACCTACGTCGTTTTTTTTCTTTAACAACTGCATCAGGATCGAGAACTCTGGGCTGAGAAGTAGACGGCTTACTTTATTCGTCGTTGGTAATTTAGGATTCTTTGCATGGCTGAACGAAGCTCCCTAGGAAGTCTTGGATCTGATAAACGTCCTCTCATACGAAGTTAAATTAGAGTTTGCCTCAGGGGAACAATAAAATTTCGTCGCCTAATGGAACTTTCAGTCCCAGACTGAAAAAAAAAGGAATTTACAGAAGCTGGTTGGATACCAAATAGCACAAGGCCATCTTCTCGTTCTCTAACCAGTATTGTAATTTACACACTTCCGATCTAATGCATTACCCCCCGCCTTCATAGTGTTATAAAAATAATATAGGATCTTATCAGGTTTCTTTAATTCCTCTACTATTTTGTTATCATGCTGCATAGATTGCTATACGAGAACATGTGTATTTGGTTTTGGAAGATACTACTCTAAGGCTGTACAACATAAACTTAGAAGTACCTGGCTGTGTTTCCTTCTTATTTGGAACTACATGTTGGGGTACTTGTTACTTATTTTTACGCTTCCTGCCGACATAGGTCAGTTGGTTGATGCGCAATTCTACATGTAATTCTACTGACGTGAACCAGTCATCTGCTGTGATATTTCTGTTCGTATAGACGAAAGCATTGAGCAGGTAGTGGTGAGTCTTTGCATCATCAGTCCATACTTATTCGGTTTAGTTTTCTTGTAGGCCACAGGAAGGACATCGGCCCACGAGCATCTCGTATTTTGTAGGGGACTCACCCGAAATATAACAATTTCGACAGTTCTCTATGAGTCTCTCGAAAATTTCACGTATTTGGAGAAATTTATCGGCATTTCTCGAGTCACAGGGTTATTATTTTCCAAATTGGTTGCCACGGACTTTAGTTCAGGTAAATGCGTAATAATCGACCAGTTGCAGGCGCTCGTTTTGACCAATTGTACATGTTTTTTCCATAGGCATAGCGAGGTCGCCCATAGGAAGTTGTTCAGGTTGATCGATAGCAGCGTCGTCCTCGGCGTAGTCTATAGTGTATTGTTCATCCGTCAACAACGAAAAAATCCATTGTGAAGGAAGTTCAAATCGTACACGCAACTGACATCCTCGGATCAAATTTGACCGCAAAGTCAACAAACCAACAATTGTGATGTTTAAATTAAACTGTGGTTTGAGGTATACGTGCTCATACCGTATGAGAAGTCACGGGACCCCCACCACATAACGGAGAAAGCTCGAATCATCCGACGATATCATTAAAGGATTAATTTCTATATTCTTGAACGAATCTATAAAATCAAAGTGGCTGGGTTTCAATTTACATAGCTCTTTGTATGGTCTTGTTTGCTGATCAACATTATATGATTTCTAGACATGTTCAATCTGTGCAGCTTCTTCACTTTCATATTAATGTCAATAAGAGCATTTCATCCATTTTTGAATAAATGTGGTTCATCACAAATTGTAGAAATACTCTGAGCATTGACTATAAAATGGAATGGACTTGATCCGTGAGTATTCTCCGAGCAAATCGTCTCAAGTGCGTTTTTGATCGTTGCGCCCTGATTAGAAATAGTGCCAACAACGCACAAACCAAGTCGCTGCTAGTTTGTGATCACATGAACAATAATCGTTTTCAGATCTGGGATTCTTGTATCTTTTACTAGATAATAAGCCACAACCTGCTTATAATTTTTACGAATCCCTCTTATCATGGAAGTAAGGGCATGATTTCTGATAAATCACTTTTTCAGAGTTCTAGTTGATTTTGTTACCTCAGAATTCAAGATTTATTAGCTGAAAATTGTACACTGTGAGCACTGGGATCAGCCCTAAACTTTGTCCAAACCCTGCAATAATCGTAAACACTAAACAAGGGTAGACATATTTCTAGTTTAACTGCCTGAACATTTTCTCTATGGTTTATACGTAACTCTCCACCTATTATCTCATTTTGTACATGTTCTGGGAGAACTCAACTTGCTCCCTATAAAATGCAACGTCTTCCTGCACAGGTGGTTCTGGTTAAGTGCCAGCCTGCTTCGGGTTTGTAATTAGTTGTTGCAATTTTCTGATTTCGTCGTCCTTTTTCATAATCCAGATTTCGTTTTGGCATTCCAGTTCAGCCATTTGATCCTGAAGCTCTTTTATAGTAGAATCATTATGGCATCGTATATCTGAGATTTTAAATGAGTGGTTGACCTCACGTTGGTTACTCTCGTCCATCAGACTCTTTACGTCATTTCTCAGTTTAGATTCAAGTTCTTTTAGGAAGCCAATTTCATCTTGCAGTTCAGCAATGTGTGACATCGTTACATCAGTTTGTGCAGTAGCACTTAAAGAATGTTGCATATCTTCGTACTCAGCGTCAAGCATAGCTTCTAAGTCTGCAACCTTCTTTTTTGACTCAATATTTTGAGCTTCAAGAGATGGTTTAGGGCTCTCTGATCTTCCTAGGTTCTTCAGTTGAGTACGCAGCATCTCTATTTCTGACTCGTATGTTTTTAGTCTTTTTATTATTTTTTTCCAGAAAATCGAGTCTGTATTGCAAGTCGATGAAATTCTTGCGCTTTTTGAGAATTTTTTGAACTCTTTCTATTTCTTCGTTGTACGCATCCGTTACTTGGCGGAGTTCCTGACTGTAACGATCGAATTTAGAATTGGCTTCTGTGAGCTGTTTCTTCAGGTCCAAAATCTCCAGCTGATTATCTAGTTTAGTGAATTCTCTAAGCTCATTGAAAGATTCTTCCAGTTCTTTGAGTTGTCTTTTAAGTACACTTGCACGTCTTCAGCTATCACAGATTCTGCTTCGGCTAGTGCCTCCTCATATGTCTCTTCTTGAATAGGCCTCATTTCACGTCCGGATGATTCTTCTTTGGGTGGATAATTTTTCAATGGCATATACCCTAGGGATGCTTTTTTAGGTGATACGTTGCCATAGTGTCCAAAAGTATGACGTCTTAATGTTTTTTTCGGTGTTGATGCCGAGGCTCCCATTTGAAAGCGCCCGACAATAGATACTTCCGTTTTTAGTCTTTCTATCTCGAGCAGATACTCTTGTTTGCTTTTCTCCATCTCTTCTAGCTTAATTGCCTGCTTTTTGAGCCGAGTTTCGAGATCGCGAGTCAAGTTCTGATATCCTTGAAGTGCCTCTTCTGTAGCTGACAAGATGTTTGCTTTCGGTTTATTTTTGACAGTGTTAGTGCTTTGGGCGAATTCTAGTGTAGATCTAGTCTCCTCCTCTGCAGCTAAAGTAACATTCCCGATAATCAATGATTTGGCATTACCGCCAAGAGCCTGTGAGAGCAGTCTAGTCAATTTCGAATCGCGATAACTGATAAACTCCTTCCCCTCGCTTAGTTGCCTTATCACATTTCCTAATACTGACAAAGATTTGTTTATGTTAGCCCCCTCTTTAAGACGCTCACCAGCAGCTTTCGTCAGAGAAACTCTCTCAGAACCAGCTAAGTCCATTAAGTTAAGGTAGCTTATATGTACAGGTCCATCTTTCTGATTGGCATCTTTCGACTCCAGAATAATCCGGAAAATCGTGTGTGATCGAGATGACCTCTCATTCATGCGAGTAGCTGCAACTCGTCTGATCTTATTGCCCTGCATCATGTTCTCCATAACTTTATCAACATTGTCTACGACAGCTTCCCTTGCATCAAGCAGCACATTTCCTTTGATATCTTCTCTTATAGTTAAACCCTGATTGCTCTTATCCAGGAGGTCATTGATCTTTTCATTGTAGATTTCAATATAACTGCATCTAATCAAGTACCTCTTATCAACCTGGTCTGCCACATGCTGGAATAACTGATTGGATACTAATTGGAAAAGCCCAGGATCTGTTTTATTGCCCAAAATGGTGTGTGTTTTGCCAGAAGATGTTTGGCCATATGCAAATATTGTGGCATTGAAACCTTCCATGAAGGAATCGACTAAAGGTTTTACTACAGATCCATATACATCTGAATTTGTACATTCCTGCTTAAATACATGGTCGAATATATAAACCTCTCCATGGCGACTACTTTCATCGGCTTCCCATATGCAGTTTACTCTTACGTTCCAAAGACGCTCTAGACCATCGGCTACTTCGCGGTGGATCATTGGTCTGATCTTTGTGGCTACTTTAATATTGTCGGAAGTCATTTTGGAAGCTTGAACTGAAATTTAATTAGAACTAGGGCTATTTCACGGGTTATAAAGAGGGGCACTTTTCATAATCCAGATTTCGTTTTGGCATTCCAGTTCAGCCATTTGATCCTGAAGCTCTTTTATAGTAGAATCATTATGGCATCGTATATCTGAGATTTTAAATGAGTGGTTGACCTCACGTTGGTTACTCTCGTCCATCAGACTCTTTACGTCATTTCTCAGTTTAGATTCAAGTTCTTTTAGGAAGCCAATTTCATCTTGCAGTTCAGCAATGTGTGACATCGTTACATCAGTTTGTGTAGCAGCACTTAAAGAATCTTGCATATCTTCGTACTCAGCGTCAAGCATAGCTTCTAAGTCTGCAACCTTCTTTTTTGACTCAATATTTTGAGCTTCAAGAGATGGTCTAGGGCTCTCTGATCTTCCTAGGTTCTTCAGTTGAGTACGCAGCATCTCTATTTCTGACTCGTATGTTTTTAGTCTTTTTATTATTTTTTTCCAGAAAATCGAGTCTGTATTGCAAGTCGATGAAATTCTTGCGCTTTTTGAGAATTTTTTGAACTCTTTCTATTTCTTCGTTGTACGCATCCGTTACTTGGCGGAGTTCCTGACTGTAACGATCGATTTTAGAATTGGCTTCTGTGAGCTGTTTCTTCAGGTCCAAAATCTCCAGCTGATTATCTAGTTTAGTGAATTCTCTAAGCTCATTGAAAGATTCTTCCAGTTCTTTGCGTTGTCTTTTAAGTACACTTGCACGTCTTCTTTGTATGGTCTTGTTTGCTGATCAACATTATATGATTTCTAGACATGTTCAATCTGTGCAGCTTCTTCGCTTTCATATTAATGTCAATAAGAGCATTTCATCCATTTTTGAATAAATGTGGTTCATCACAAATTGTAGAAATACTCTGAGCATTGACTATAAAATGGAATGGACTTGATCCGTGAGTATTCTCCGAGCAAATCGTCTCAAGTGCGTTTTTGATCGTTGCGCCCTGATTAGAAATAGTGCCAACATCGCACAAACCAAGTCGCTGCTAGTTTGTGATCACATGAACAATATACGTTTTCAGATCTGGGATTCTTGTATCTTTTACTAGATAATAAGCCACAACCTGCTTATAATTTTTAAGTAAGGGCATGATTTCTGATAAATCACTTTTTCAGAGTTCTAGTTGATTTTGTTACCTCAGAATTCAAGATTTATTAGCTGAAAATTGTACACTGTGAGCACTGGGATCAGCCCTAAACTTTGTCCAAACCCTGCAATAATCGTAAACACTAAACAAGGGTAGACATATTTCTAGTTTAACTGCCTGAAGATTTTCTCTATGGTTTATACGTAACTCTCCACCTATTATCTCATTTTTGTACATGTTCTGGGAGAACTCAACTTGCTCCCTATAAAATGCAACGTCTTCCTGCACAGGTGGTTCTGGTTAAGTGCCAGCCTGCTTCGGGTTTGTAATTAGTTGTTGCAATTTTCTGATTTCGTCGTCCTTTTTCATAATCCAGATTTCGTTTTGGCATTCCAGTTCAGCCATTTGATCCTGAAGCTCTTTTATAGTAGAATCATTATGGCATCGTATATCTGAGATTTTAAATGAGTGGTTGACCACACGTTGGTTACTCTCGTCCATCAGACTCTTTACGTCATTTCTCAGTTTAGATTCAAGTTCTTTTAGGAAGCCAATTTCATCTTGCAGTTCAGCAATGTGTGACATCGTTACATCAGTTTGTGCAGCAGCACTTAAAGAATGTTGCATATCTTCGTACTCAGCGTCAAGCATAGCTTCTAAGTCTGCAACCTTCTTTTTGACTCAATATTTTGAGCTTCAAGAGATGGTTTAGGGCTCTCTGATCTTCCTAGGTTCTTCAGTTGAGTACGCAGCATCTCTATTTCTGACTCGTATGTTTTTAGTCTTTTTATTATTTTTTTCCAGAAATCGAGTCTGTATTGCAAGTCGATGAAATTCTTGCGCTTTTTGAGAATTTTTTTGAACTCTTTCTATTTCTTCGTTGTACGCATCCGTTACTTGGCGGAGTTCCTGACTGTAACGATCGAATTTAGAATTGGCTTCTGTGAGCTGTTTCTTCAGGTCCAAAATCTCCAGCTGATTATCTAGTTTAGTGAATTCTCTAAGCTCATTGAAAGATTCTTCCAGTTCTTTGAGTTGTCTTTTAAGTACACTTGCACGTCTTCAGCTATCACAGATTCTGCTTCGGCTAGTGCCTCCTCATATGTCTCTTCTTGAATAGGCCTCATTTCACGTCCGGATGATTCTTCTTTGGGTGGATAATTTTTCAATGGCATATACCCTAGGGATGCTTTTTTAGGTGATACGTTGCCATAGTGTCCAAAAGTATGACGTCTTAATGTTTTTTTCGGTGTTGATGCCGAGGCTCCCATTTGAAAGCGCCCGACAATAGATACTTCCGTTTTTAGTCTTTCTATCTCGAGCAGATACTCTTGTTTGCTTTTATCCATCTCTTTTAGCTTAATTGCCTGCTTTTTGAGCCGAGTTTCGAGATCGCGAGTCAAGTTCTGATATCCTTGAAGTGTCTCTTCTGTAGCTGACAAGATGTTTACTTTCGTTTTATTTTTGACAGTTTTAGTGCTTTGGGCGAATTCTGGTGTAGATCTAGTCTCCTCCTCTGCAGCTAAAGTAACATTCCCGATAATCAATGATTTGGCATTACCGCCAAGAGCCTGTGAGAGCAGTCTAGTCAATTTCGAATCGCGATAACTGATAAACTCCTTCCCCTCGCTTAGTGCCTTATCACATTTCCTAATACTGACAAGATTTGTTTATGTTAGCCCCTCTTTAAGACGCTCACCAGCAGCTTTCGTCAGAGAAACTCTCTCAGAACCAGCTAAGTCCATTAAGTTAAGGTAGCTTATATGTACAGGTCCATCTTTCTGATTGGCATCTTTCGACTCCAGAATAATCCGGAAAATCGTGTGTGATCGAGATGACCTCTCATTCATGCGAGTAATGCAATAAATATAATCCTCGAAACTTGAACTGTAATATGAACATAAAAAAACTAACAAAATGGGCCATTTAACAACATATTTGGTGTTGATATTCTACAACAAAAACAAATACTTTCTCGTATAAGGAAACATACAATAATTAACATTTATCACTTTTCACGAAACAATGTAAGTGCGCTGTGACTTTACATACTTATTACAGATTGTAGAACATTTTTTTCATTGTGTATTGTCATGTAACACCTACGTCGTTTTTTTTCTTTAACAACTGCATCAGGATCGAGAACTCTGGGCTGAGAAGTAGACGGCTTACTTTATTCGTCGTTGGTAATTTAGGATTCTTTGCATGGCTGAACGAAGCTCCCTAGGAAGTCTTGGATCTGATAAACGTCCTCTCATACGAAGTTAAATTAGAGTTTGCCTCAGGGGAACAATAAAATTTCGTCGCCTAATGGAACTTTCAGTCCCAGACTGCAAAAAAAAGGAATTTACAGAAGCTGTTGGATACCAAATAGCACAAGGCCATCTTCTCGTTCTCTAACCAGTATTGTAATTTACACACTTCCGATCTAATGCATTACCCCCCGCCTTCATAGTGTTATAAAAATAATATAGGATCTTATCAGGTTTCTTTAATTCCTCTACTATTTTGTTATCATGCTGCATAGATTGCTATACGAGAACATGTGTATTTGGTTTTGGAAGATACTACTCTAAGGCTGTACAACATAACTTAGAAGTACCTGGCTGTGTTTCCTTCTTATTTGGAACTACATGTTGGGGTACTTGTTACTTATTTTTACGCTTCCTGCCGACATAGGTCAGTTGGTTGATGCGCAATTCTACATGTAATTCTACTGACGTGAACCAGTCATCTGCTGTGATATTTCTGTTCGTATAGACGAAAGCATTGAGCAGGTAGTGGTGAGTCTTTGCATCATCAGTCCATACTTATTCGGTTTAGTTTTCTTGTAGGCACAGGAAGGACATCGGCCCACGAGCATCTCGTATTTTGTAGGGGACTCACCCGAAATATAACAATTTCGACAGTTCTCTATGAGTCTCTCGAAAATTTCACGTATTTGGAGAAATTTATCGGCATTTCTCGAGTCACAGGTTATTATTTTCCAAATTGGTTGCCACCGACTTTAGTTCAGGTAAATGCGTAATAATCGACCAGTTGCAGGCGCTCGTTTTGACCAATTGTACATGTTTTTTCCATAGGCATAGCGAGGTCGCCCATAGGAAGTTGTTCAGGTTGATCGATAGCAGCGTCGTCCTCGGCGTAGTCTATAGTGTATTGTTCATCCGTCAACAACGAAAAAATCCATTGTGAAGGAAGTTCAAATCGTACACGCAACTGACATCCTCGGATCAAATTTGACCGCAAAGTCAACAAACCAACAATTGTGATGTTTAAATTAAAACTGTGGTTTGAGGTATACGTGCTCATACCGTATGAGAAGTCACGGGACCCCACCACATAACGGAGAAAGCTCGAATCATCCGACGATATCATTAAAGGATTAATTTCTATATTCTTGAACGAATCTATAAAATCAAAGTGGCTGGGTTTCAATTTACATAGCTCTTTGTATGGTCTTGTTGCTGATCAACATTATGATTTCTAGACATGTTCAATCTGTGCAGCTTCTTCACTTTCATATTAATGTCAATAAGAGCATTCATCCATTTTTGAATAATGTGGTTCATCACAAATTGTAGAAATACTCTGAGCATTGACTATAAAATGGAATGGACTTGATCCGTGAGTATTCTCCGAGCAAATCGTCTCAAGTGCGTTTTTGATCGTTGCGCCCTGATTAGAAATAGTGCCAACAACGCACAAACCAAGTCGCTGCTAGTTTGTGATCACATGAACATAATCGTTTCAGATCTGGGATTCTTGTATCTTTTACTAGATAATAAGCCACAACCTGCTTATAATTTTACGAATCCCTCTTATCATGGAAGTAAGGGCATGATTTCTGATAAATCACTTTTTCAGAGTTCTAGTTGATTTTGTTACCTCAGAATTCAAGATTTATTAGCTGAAAATTGTACACTGTGAGCACTGGGATCAGCCCTAAACTTTGTCCAAACCCTGCAATAATCGTAAACACTAAACAAGGGTAGACATATTTCTAGTTTAACTGCCTGAAGATTTTCTCTATGGTTTATACGTAACTCTCCACCTATTATCTCATTTTTGTACATGTTCTGGGAGAACTCAACTTGCTCCCTATAAAATGCAACGTCTTCCTGCACAGGTGGTTCTGGTTAAGTGCCAGCCTGCTTCGGGTTTGTAATTAGTTGTTGCAATTTTCTGATTTCGTCGTCCTTTTTCATAATCCAGATTTCGTTTTGGCATTCCAGTTCAGCCATTTGATCCTGAAGCTCTTTTATAGTAGAATCATTATGGCATCGTATATCTGAGATTTTAAATGAGTGGTTGACCTCACGTTGGTTACTCTCGTCCATCAGACTCTTTACGTCATTTCTCAGTTTAGATTCAAGTTCTTTTAGGAAGCCAATTTCATCTTGCAGTTCAGCAATGTGTGACATCGTTACATCAGTTTGTGCAGCAGCACTTAAAGAATGTTGCATATCTTCGTACTCAGCGTCAAGCATAGCTTCTAAGTCTGCAACCTTCTTTTTTGACTCAATATTTTGAGCTTCAAGAGATGGTTTAGGGCTCTCTGATCTTCCTAGGTTCTTCAGTTGAGTACGCAGCATCTCTATTTCTGACTCGTATGTTTTTAGTCTTTTTATTATTTTTTTCCAGAAAATCGAGTCTGTTGCAAGTCGATGAAATTCTTGCGCTTTTTGAGAATTTTTTTGAACTCTTTCTATTTCTTCGTTGTACGCATCCGTTACTTGGCGGAGTTCCTGACTGTAACGATCGAATTTAGAATTGGCTTCTGTGAGCTGTTTCTTCAGGTCCAAAATCTCCAGCTGATTATCTAGTTTAGTGAATTCTCTAAGCTCATTGAAAGATTCTTCCAGTTCTTTGAGTTGTCTTTTAAGTACACTTGCACGTCTTCAGCTATCACAGATTCTGCTTCGGCTAGTGCCTCCTCATATGTCTCTTCTTGAATAGGCCTCATTTCACGTCCGGATGATTCTTCTTTGGGTGGATAATTTTTCAATGGCATATACCCTAGGGATGCTTTTTTAGGTGATACGTTGCCATAGTGTCCAAAAGTATGACGTCTTAATGTTTTTTTCGGTGTTGATGCCGAGGCTCCCATTTGAAAGCGCCCGACAATAGATACTTCCGTTTTTAGTCTTTCTATCTCGAGCAGATACTCTTGTTTGCTTTTATCCATCTCTTTTAGCTTAATTGCCTGCTTTTTGAGCCGAGTTTCGAGATCGCGAGTCAAGTTCTGATATCCTTGAAGTGTCTCTTCTGTAGCTGACAAGATGTTTACTTTCGTTTTATTTTTGACAGTTTTAGTGCTTTGGGCGAATTCTGGTGTAGATCTAGTCTCCTCCTCTGCAGCTAAAGTAACATTCCCGATAATCAATGATTTGGCATTACCGCCAAGAGCCTGTGAGAGCAGTCTAGTCAATTTCGAATCGCGATAACTGATAAACTCCTTCCCCTCGCTTAGTTGCCTTATCACATTTCCTAATACTGACAAAGATTTGTTTATGTTAGCCCCCTCTTTAAGACGCTCACCAGCAGCTTTCGTCAGAGAAACTCTCTCAGAACCAGCTAAGTCCATTAAGTTAAAGGTAGCTTATATGTACAGGTCCATCTTTCTGATTGGCATCTTTCGACTCCAGAATAATCCGGAAAATCGTGTGTGATCGAGATGACCTCTCATTCATGCGAGTAGCTGCAACTCGTCTGATCTTATTGCCCTGCATCATGTTCTCCATAACTTTATCAACATTGTCTACGACAGCTTCCCTTGCATCAAGCAGCACATTTCCTTTGATATCTTCTCTTATAGTTAAACCCTGATTGCTCTTATCCAGGAGGTCATTGATCTTTTCATTGTAGATTTCAATATAACTGCATCTAATCAAGTACCTCTTATCAACCTGGTCTGCCACATGCTGGAATAACTGATTGGATACTAATTGGAAAAGCCCAGGATCTGTTTTATTGCCCAAAATGGTGTGTGTTTTGCCAGAAGATGTTTGGCCATATGCAAATATTGTGGCATTGAAACCTTCCATGAAGGAATCGACTAAAGGTTTTACTACAGATCCATATACATCTGAATTTGTACATTCCTGCTTAAATACATGGTCGAATATATAAACCTCTCCATGGCGACTACTTTCATCGGCTTCCCATATGCAGTTTACTCTTACGTTCCAAAGACGCTCTAGACCATCGGCTACTTCGCGGTGGATCATTGGTCTGATCTTTGTGGCTACTTTAATATTGTCGGAAGTCATTTTGGAAGCTTGAACTGAAATTTAATTAGAACTAGGGCTATTTCACGGGTTATAAAGAGGGGCACTTTTCATAATCCAGATTTCGTTTTGGCATTCCAGTTCAGCCATTTGATCCTGAAGCTCTTTATAGTAGAATCATTATGGCATCGTATATCTGAGATTTTAAATGAGTGGTTGACCTCACGTTGGTTACTCTCGTCCATCAGACTCTTTACGTCATTTCTCAGTTTAGATTCAAGTTCTTTTAGGAAGCCAATTTCATCTTGCAGTTCAGCAATGTGTGACATCGTTACATCAGTTTGTGTAGAGCACTTAAAGAATCTTGCATATCTTCGTACTCAGCGTCAAGCATAGCTTCTAAGTCTGCAACCTTCTTTTTTGACTCAATATTTTGAGCTTCAAGAGATGGTTTAGGGCTCTCTGATCTTCCTAGGTTCTTCAGTTGAGTACGCAGCATCTCTATTTCTGACTCGTATGTTTTTAGTCTTTTTATTATTTTTTTCCAGAAAATCGAGTCTGTATTGCAAGTCGATGAAATTCTTGCGCTTTTTGAGAATTTTTTTGAACTCTTTCTATTTCTTCGTTGTACGCATCCGTTACTTGGCGGAGTTCCTGACTGTAACGATCGATTTTAGAATTGGCTTCTGTGAGCTGTTTCTTCAGGTCCAAAATCTCCAGCTGATTATCTAGTTTAGTGAATTCTCTAAGCTCATTGAAAGATTCTTCCAGTTCTTTGCGTTGTCTTTTAAGTACACTTGCACGTCTTCTTTGTATGGGTCTTGTTTGCTGATCAACATATCTGATTTCTAGACATGTTCAATCTGTGCAGCTTCTTCGCTTTCATATTAATGTCAATAAGAGCATTTCATCCATTTTTGAATAAATGTGGTTCATCACAAATTGTAGAAATACTCTGAGCATTGACTATAAAATGGAATGGACTTGATCCGTGAGTATTCTCCGAGCAAATCGTCTCAAGTGCGTTTTTGATCGTTGCGCCCTGATTAGAAATAGTGCCAACAACGCACAAACCAAGTCGCTGCTAGTTTGTGATCACATGAACAATAATCGTTTTCAGATCTGGGATTCTTGTATCTTTTACTAGATAAGCCACAACCTGCTTATAATTTTTAAGTAAGGGCATGATTTCTGATAAATCACTTTTTCAGAGTTCTAGTTGATTTTGTTACCTCAGAATTCAAGATTTATTAGCTGAAAATTGTACACTGTGAGCACTGGGATCAGCCCTAAACTTTGTCCAAACCCTGCAATAATCGTAAACACTAAACAAGGGTAGACATATTTCTAGTTTAACTGCCTGAAGATTTTCTCTATGGTTTATACGTAACTCTCCACCTATTATCTCATTTTTGTACATGTTCTGGGAGAACTCAACTTGCTCCCTATAAAATGCAACGTCTTCCTGCACAGGTGGTTCTGGTTAAGTGCCAGCCTGCTTCGGGTTTGTAATTAGTTGTTGCAATTTTCTGATTTCGTCGTCCTTTTTCATAATCCAGATTTCGTTTTGGCATTCCAGTTCAGCCATTTGATCCTGAAGCTCTTTTATAGTAGAATCATTATGGCATCCTTATC